AATGTACCTCTAAGAGTACAGCCTCAAGAATTCATGAACAGACTGGTCAAGAGGAAGAAGGCTCAAAACCAAGGTCGAAATCCTCCAATCTTTTCAACGTTGGAATTGCTCCTGCACTGAGCTTGCTCTCGTGTAATTTGTCAGCAACTGCCAAGAAATTTTCTTTAAACAACCCAGAGCACTTGTTTTATCTAATTTATAATATACTTCATTATCATCAGAGAAACACCAAAAATTATATAACCATATGCCTTTGTAATTATCTCTTAAAGATATTTTAAATGAAAACAGCATACTGTTTATTGCCTCCCATCCCTAACTCCTTTTTCTGTATTCTTTGAGATTACTGACTCTCAAAATTGGACAATAAAGACTGGTTCACCATTTCTCCAACCCATCTACAAGGCATTTTACTTACCTTCAGTGGTAGTTTAGTATTTAACCATAGCTCATATTTCTTTTGTACTGATAAGCACTGCCACAAATTAACAATGCAATTTAGCATGTTATCTTATCAGACTCCATACTTTATAAATATCTGCTGCTGCCCAGATCTTGATTTATCAACTCTTAGACCTACAACAGCCCCTACACTTTTCGTGTGTCAGGAAGATTCGCCCTGAGCTAACATCCATTGGCAATCTTCCTCTTTTTTTCTTTTTTTATGTGGGCCACCACCACAGCATGGCTGCTAACAGACAAGTGCTGTAGGTCCGTGCCTGGGAACCGAACCCAGGCCGCCGAAGCAGAGTATGCTGAACTTAACCACTAGGCCACCAGGGCTAGGCCTACAACAGCCCCTTTTTAAAAAGGCACCTTAAAACAGAATTTCAACTAAAGTTCTTCCTACAAAAAATGCATAGGCTTAAAAATTGACATCTTGGAAACATTCAAAATATTACTTAAAGTTAAGTAATATATCTAAACTGCATTTGACTTTTAATTGCTAAAAATCTTATGCTAGAGAAAATTCAGGAATCGATCTCAGAGAAAATAATTTGTTTCCAGTGGATGTGGCTTGACTTCTTGTCTTACTCTCATAAACCCAAACTGCTTTACTACTTCAAAGATGAAAGGAGACGATGAAGACTAAACTTTTCATTTCAACTATGAGTATTTAAAACAGCAAAATAAAAAGAAGAATCACAACAAATAATACAATTCATTAATTAAGGAAATGAATTTTCCATTTTTTTACAGCAAATCAAACAACCTACTAACTTTTGAAAATAATCCAAGAAAACAAATTTTAAACCTTGCACTGTACTTCATTTGAGAGCACGGAAACAAGTATGCCATAAGACAAAATACAGAACATTTTTATTCATGTGACTGTCATAACTATAAAAAGCTATTATCACACAAATCTAGCACCCTTCTTCAATATCTTCAAATTTTTAAAAATCTTAATTAATCTATTTTAATGAAGTTTATTCCCTGAGCTAAGATTTTTTTTTTTTTTAACTCCTATCAATCTAAGATTCCTGACATCTTACACCAAGAAGTATGGTCTTCACTAAAAAATAGGATTTTTCTGGGACCAGCCCGGTGGTGCAGCGGTTAAGTTTGCACATTCCGTTTTGGTGACCAGGGGTTCAATGGTTTGGATCCTGAGTGCGGACCTACGCACCACTTGGCAAGCCATGCTGTGGCATCTACTTTATATATGGCATATAAAGTAGAGGAAGATGGGCACAGATGTTAGCTCAGGGCCAGTCTTGCTCAGCAAAAAGAGGAGGATTGGCAGCAGATGTTAGCTCAGGGCTAATCTTCCTCAAAAAAAGAATAGGATTTTTCTATCAAATCATGTTAGATATGGGTGAATATTACCCTACATAAATTATTTTTCTTTCTGGCCAGCCCCATGGCCGAGTGGTTAAGTTCGCAGACTCTGCTTTGGTGGCCCAGGGTTTCACTGGTTAGGATCCTGGGCACAGACATAGCACCACTCATTAAGCCATGCTGAGGCGGCGTCCCACATGCCACAACTAGAAGGACCCACAACTAGAAATACACAACTATGTACCCGGGGTCTTCAGGGACAAAAAGGAAAAATAAAATCTTTAAAAAAAAAAAATTATTTTTCTTTCAAATATTATCAAAATCTGATGATTACTAAATAACACATTGCAGTTGCCCCAGGTACTTGAAGGGGTACCTGGAAGACCATTTTTATTTGCTTGAGTTATAAGTTAAAGGCAAAGATTTCTTAGTTATCATACCAAAAGCATAATTCATAAAAGAACTAAGGATAAGCTGGAATTTGAAATAAAACTCTTGCTCTTAAAAGACACTGTTGAGAGGAGGAAAAGATAAGCCACTGAATGGTAAGGATTTGTTTCCAGAATACATAAAGAATTCTCAAAATTCAACATTAAGAAAACAAAACCCAATTTTCAAAAATAGGCAAAAGATTTGAGTAAGCACTTCACCAAAGAAGACATACAGCTGGCAAGTAAGTCCATGGAAAGATGTGAATATCGTTAGTCGTTAGGAAAATGTAAATTAACCACAAGACAGCACTGCACGACTGTTAAAAGGGCTAACATTTTAACACACTAGTGTTGGTGAGGACAGGGAGCAACTGGAACTCTCATACACTGCTAGACAGAGTGTAAAACAGCACAGCCACTTTGGAAGACAATTTGGCAGTTTCTTAAAAAGTTAAACCCACACCTACCAACCACCTGATCCAGCCATTCCACTCCAAGATGTTTACTACAGAGAAAGGAAAACCTAAGTCTACCCAAAGTTCCACTTCAAGTTCATATGAGCTTTCTTTATCAGAGCCAAAAACTAGAAACAATTTAAATGTTCATCACCAGATGAATGGATAAACAAATTCTGTTATATCCATACAACGTAACACTACTCAGACATACCAATCATCAATAAAAAGTAATAAACTACTGACATAGACAACAATGAATGAATCTTAAACACAGGATGCTGATGAAAAAAGAATACATCCTGGATAAGGCCATTTACATGAAGTTCCAGAAAAGGCAAAGCTAACCATGGTGACAGCAAATCAATGGTTTTCTGTGGGCAGAGGAGGGTGGGAACGAATGCAAAGGGCACTAAACGAACTTTTCAGGATAACAGAAAAGTTCTGTCTTGATTGTGTGGTCATTACATGGGTGTATATATTTGTCAAAATGTAAATTGTATACTTAAAATGGTTCAACTCTATTGAATGCAAATTATACCTCGATCAAGTTGATTAAGAATATTAAAATGTTACTTTCGGGAAAAACAATCTACAAAATTATCATGTTTCCTAAGATGTTTGTAGTACCTTCCACCAGACATTTTCAAATATTTGACACTCTTACAAAGAATCTCAGAAAAGGCTGGGGTTGGGGGCAGGCCCTGTGGTGTAGTGGTTAAGTTTGGCAAGCTCTGCTTCAGCAGCCTGGGTTTGTGGATTCAGATCTCGGTTGCAGACCTACGCCACTCATCAGCCATGCTGTGACAGTGACCCCCATACAAAATGGAGTAAAACCGACACAGATGTTAGCCCAGGGCTAATCTTCCTCAAGGCAAAAAAAAAGAGGAAGATCGGCAACAAATGTTAGCTCAGGGCAAATCTTCCTCACCAAAAAAAGAAAAAAAAGAAAAGGCTGGGATTATCATCATTTTATAAATTGCAGGCGCAGAGGGGAAGCAGGAAACATAGTGGTAGTAATTAGAAGCAGGAGTTGCAGACATAACATTACACTGGGCAGATTTATCAATGGCAATGAAATGACTACCACTTAACAAACTAACAGGACAGGGGATAAAGAAAGTGCTGAGTCTTGACCTGCAGGAAAAAACTGGATAGAAATACATAAAAAATAAAGGACAAAGAAAAATACATATTCCCTGGAAAAAGGTAGGGTTAGAAAAGGCAGGAAATGCCTAAGGTCAACATGACCAATATGTACTACACATCTCAAATGAAAAAGAAAACCAATCATATGGAAAATAATCACCTTTAACATAAATAAAGTGAGTAGAAGGAGCTCAGAACCCAAGATACCTGATCTGAACCCAGATCTGCCACTGACTCACGCACACTTTATTAAGGTCATTAACTCTGAGTGCCTCAGTACCCTCCCCTTTCTAAAACAGAAATATTAATTCTGATCCTTGAACAGCCCTTTGGGGACAGTGCAGAAATAAAGAATTTACGTAAAAAAGAATTTACAAGGTACACAGTCAAGTTATATTCTCCACACAAAAGCATGCATCTAAGAATACACTACATTATCATCAAATCAAATTAATGAATAATTAGGTATCTTAAGAGTCAAAAATCGTTCCCTACAGCCTATAAGATCACGCCTAAATGCCTGAGTTAAAAATTCACGTCCTTTATGAGTCAACTCCATCCCATGTATCTAAAATATCTTATACCAATCCAAATTTGTCTACTCTCTCCCAAACATAGTATTTATTTTCCCTCCCTAGACATGCTGTTCCCCATACTACTGTCAGCAATCCAACTCCTATATTTTGTTTAACGGTGACCCCAAATTCCTAAAAACTTCACTTATCCCTAACTCAAAACGTTCTTTCCTTTCTCTGAATTTCTAGTGCTTAGTCAGCACTATAAAAATGGCATTTAATTTTTAAACCATATTTCCCTATTCTCTATGTTTTTTTGCTTTTTAAATCTTATTTCTTCACCTACAAAAAGGAAGAGTCTTAAGATAGACAGTGTGACTTCCCCCTGTTGTAACCCCACACTGTTGGGGAGACAGTAGGGCTTGCTGCTCTCTCAGTGATGCTGTACTACAGACAGATTCACACTCAAATCTGAACCACACTCCATTTTAGCAACAGCAGCAAGAATTAGGGTTTTACTTGCCCCACCTGGTGTTAAGCTGGAAGAAGGTAGAGGGGTAGGTTTGACAGTTCTGTATCTAAGTTGCTGTGCTTTCGAGATTTTTTTTAGTTTTTATTATGGAAATTTTCAAACATAAACATAAGTAGAAAGAAATAGTATAATGAACCTCCTGTACCCATCAGCCAGCTACGACAATTACTAATACACGGCCATTCATATCCATACTCCTGACCACTTCTTCCTCTCCCCAAGAGATCCCAGATATTACATTACGTCATCCATATGTACTTCAGTAAATATTTCTAAAAGGTAAGTACTTTTTCTTTTAAATATGACCACAATATTATTACCCCACCTGAAAAGATAATAACTCCCTACCATCAAATATCCAGTCAATGTTCAAATCTCCCTATTGTCATTAGCAATCAGTTTGTTCAAGTCAGGATCTAGGATTACTTCAGGAGGGAAAATGGTTTCCTTTTCTGCTGCCCCATGGTCTTTCAATCCTTCAATGTCATACACTTACCTTATGAATTTTTAGGTGTAGGCAGAAGAGGATTTCCTTTTCCCAGTACGCTGTACTCTCCTTAATAAAGAAAATACCGCTTCTTATTCCCAATACTGAGTTCTGTCATTACTGCAGAGCTTTTAGCACACTCAAAAAAACATTTAATTCAATGACACGGCCTCCTTCCTTCACCATTAAGTTGCCACATTTCATTTACCACTCAGGAAGAGTTCTGAACTCTAACATAATATGAATGTAAATAGTGTAGGCTCCGTTAAGAGTATTTTCTATTTCTATTAATCTTTCTAACGAGCTCAACTTTAACTTTTAAGTTATTACATTGTCAGCTTTCCACTTTAAGTGAGTTACTCTTAACAGTTCATGAACTAAGGCATAGTTGGTGGGGCATTTAAACCCAAAAGATTACAGGCACGGTGCTAAGAGATCAACATTAGGTTAGCTCTATTCCTTAGCCGTGAAATCCATCCCTCATTAGTACAAGGGGAACCAGAGAAGCAGCTATACAATAATGAGCTCCAATACAAACCCTTCACTAGGAAATAATGTAAAGGCGGACAGTGAATCAGTGGAGTTATTTTCATTCATTTTCAGCATAGAGTAACAGAAGCAGACAGAAAATGATAGAGAAACAATTAGGAGGAATTTAAAAAAAGTATAATCTTCACAACTACTTCTAAACCCCAAGAGCTAGTAACTCGGACATTCAGCAGGGGAGGATGAACCAAAACCCTTTTATCACCTGGGCTCAAGACTGTGGAGGACAAAAAATAACATGATGGGGCTGGCCCCGTGGCCAAGTGGTTAAGTCGCATGCTCCGCTGCAGGCGGTCCAGTGTTGGTTCGAATCCTGGGCGCGGACATGGCACTACTCATCAAACCACGCTGAGGCAGCACCCCACATGCCACAACTAGAAGGACCACAACGAAGAATATACAACTAGGTACCGGGGGGCTTTGGGGAGAAAAAGAGAAAAAATAAAATCTTAAAAAAAATAAATAAATAACATGACAGTCTCTGACTTTAAGGAATTTACACTCCAGCTGGTAAGATGAGACCAAGACACTTCAACAATTAGCCCACAGTATGCGTACTAAACCAATAAGCGCTAAACTGGGTGAATCAGATTTAAAGTAGTGTAGTTCATAAAAGGAATGGGTCAGCAGGGTCTAAAGAAGTCAGAGAACTACGTGAAGGTCAGGAGAGCGGAACAGTGAAGGCAGGGCAGGACAGGAATTAGTTACCTGTCTCTCTCTTGTCCACCACTCCATCCCAATGCCTGGCACAGTGCCTGCAACACAGCAGACACTCAAATATTTGTCAATGAATAGAAGGACAAACAGAAGGAGGGGAAGAAGGGGGGAGAAAACAACAGGCATTCCAAAAAAGAGATTTTTTTTTTTCATTTTTCATTTTTCCTTCTTCTCCCCACAGCCCCCCAGTACACATTTGTATATTTTTAGTTGTGGGTCCTTCTAGTTGTTGCATGTGGGACACCACCTCAGCATAGCTTGATGAGCAGTGCTAGGTCCATGCCCAGGATCCAAACCATGAAACCCTGGGCCACCAAAACAGAGCATGCAACCTCAACCACTCGGCCATGGGGCCAGTCCAGGAAAAGAGATTTTTTTTAAGTGAAAGATTAAACACAACAATTTCATGAGACAGTGAATAAAAACAGAATGGTAAGAAATTAGGTAAAACAGGTAGAACGAACCCAAACCATCCGTGGTTTTAAAAGTCAGTCAGAGGGCCTGGCCCAGTGGTGTGTATGGTTAAGTTCACACACTCCACTTTGGCGACCCAGGGTTCACAGGTTTGGATCCCAGGCATGGACCTAGCATCACTCATCAAGCCATGCTGTGGTGGCATCCCATATAAAATAGAGGAAGATTAGCATAGATGTTAGCACAGCAACAATCTTCCTCAAGCAAAAAGAGGAAGATGGGCAACAGATGTTAGCTCAGGGCCAATCTTCCTCACACATACACAAAAAAGTCAGTCACAGCCAGCCCTGATGGCCTAGTAAAGTTGGACACCCTCTGCTTCAGCGGCCCAGGTTTGGTTCCTGGGTGTAGAACCACACCACTTGTCTGTCAGTAGCCATGCTGTGGCAGTTGCTCACGTAGAAGACCCAGAAGGACTTACAACTAGGATATACAACTACGTACCGGGGCTTTGGGGAGGAAAAATAAAAGCAGTATTAAAAGTCAGTCAAAAGAGATATAAAACTGATCCCATATTAAGTACTAAAATGAATATGTCCAGAGAGCACATTCTGTTGTGTTTCCACTTTTTAAGAACACTAAAAGTGTAAATGGCCATTTTTCCTAAGATCGTCATTCATCTTTGTAACGTTATTGGGCATAACCTAGAAAGTGCTAACATTTCTCCAGAGGAAAACTAATACCACTAGCTAATACAGATGAATGATTTTTTTCCCTGAATATTTTTACTATCTGGAAATGTGACTGGGTTATCACTAAGGTCAGTCTCTTTGGGAGTTGCGTAATCAAATGCCTGAGACGTACCACAATTAGGGCGAGAGACGGGTGAGTGTAATCCAGCAGAAAAACCAGTGACTAATGCTGAATCACAGCTTCCAAGTGATTATTTCACGAAAATGTGAACCTTCCATGTTAACACTCCCCTACAACGGTCACTGGAAGTACATCAAGAGTCTTACCCAGCAACTATTCTCCAGGATTTTGCAGGATACTGTTAAAGGACTGAGGACAACAAAATCTAGTTGAGTCTCAAGTTTATAAGCCGAAATTTGTTAAGTCAAGGAGATTCTCACCTCCTCAAACTTCACAATGGGAAGAGAATTCACGGTTATGGTGGTCTCAGTGTACACGGATTTCCCAGACATTCACCCCCAAAAAAGTTCCAGGTCCTAGCTACCACCATCTATGGTCTTCAGTGGCAGCTATATAATCTCTATATAGAAGGACTTTGGGAACAGCAATCAAATGGGGGAAGGGGACACTGGAGAATGCATCTTAAAGATACACACACATGGCAAGTGCATTACTTTAATTTAAATGATATGAATGCTCTCCAACGGCCATTTTCCTTAGCATTCCTTCTACTCTTTCAGTCCAAATCATCTGTAACAGGCAAGTTGCATATTAACACTGTTACAATGACAGTGATAGAATTCTGGTTATTTGGAATTTCATTGTTCAATTTTGGTGCCTAGCACCTGGTACTGTAGAAAGTCCAAGAGCCTTGAAGTCATACCAACCTACTTATAAATCTTAGCTCTCACCACAAGTTACCTAACTGAATCTCAGTTCCTCAATGGAAACTAGGTATGACAACAGTTATTTTGCAAAGCTGTTGGAAGCATCCAGAACATAGTAAGCACTATGGTATGGTAATTATGATGGAAGGCTGATGAACAGGCCTATACTCAGGTTTCCAAAGAGTATTAACTACATAATGAAAGCATGAACCGTCTCACTCTCTCTAGTCCAGTTGTGAGAAGACTTACCGGTACCCCTTTATAGTTTCATCTGGTCTCTAGAGGAAGTATTATTTATATTAGCAAAAGACTGAAAATAATTCAAATAACCATCCATAACGGGACTAACTAAAAAAAGTATTATTCACCTTCATATGGGACTACTGTACAGCATTTTTTTCTCATTAGAAAGCTTCTTATATAGTTACAGGTAATAATCCTCAAGATATAATAGTGAAAATGATGCAGACTAGAGTGTATAATTTACTACAATTTGTTTTCAAAGAGGGAGTACAGTAGGAAGATACACACATTTACCTGTATACACATAAACATGTCAGGATATATGAGACCCTTATAATACCGACTGCCTACGGGAAGGGGGTCCAGACGGCCGAGGGGTATGCGTGGGCAGGAAACTTTTCTCTGTATTTCACTCTGTCATAACTTTCAAAATTTTGAAACTCTAGTCCCCTAGACAGGGTAGGAAAATCATCTCTTCATAAATTATAAACCTGAGCAATAATATGAACCATTAATGGGGATGACAGCATATCTGACAACTCATTTCCAGGGCCAGCCTCAACATCACAATTGCCACCACCTAAAACAATCTACGTGCCTTCCATGATCTGAGTCCATCAAGTGACTAGAGCTAATTTATTCCTTCAAGTCAAACTTCTCGACTTGCTAATTATGTGTCTAGGTGCTATGCATTTCCAGACTCAGTGTTATTTATAAACTCTTAAAACTTATTGTCTTTAGGGTTTTCTTGCCAGCCTTAGAAGGGCCCTCTGAACAATAACATTTCCCACCTTCAGGGCAGTCAGCAATCCATTCCAAAGCCAACTTTTCTGAACCAGACTGAGTTCTACCTCTTAAAATCAGACAAGATTCACCACAGGACCCAAGCAAATCACTAATTTAAGTCTCAACAATTAGATGGCTATAATGCAGACCACCTTCCTATTTAGAGAAGAGTAAATTATGTTAATTCCCTCCAATCTGGCAGAAAAGTACTCCTTCCAAACTTTGCAAATAACTCTTCCACAGGGTTAAGTAAAACTTACAGAGGCAACATTCTCCTAAACCTAAATTGTAATGATATTGCCTTAAACATGACTTGAATCATGCTGGAATGACATCACAGGACCTAATACACTGCTCCTAAAACAGCACCAAGTGCTACCTCCATTCTTGCTCTCCTATGGCAAGCAGGTTATTTTTGGACCCAGCCTATGAAGCTGCACTTTCTTGACTATGAGCTTCATCCTCTGAATATTCCTTTCACATTCAACCTTGGTTCTCGCCTTCTGGCACAGAGCTCCAAACCTCAATGGAATACATAATGAAATGCTGGGTTACTTTAGTGCAAAAAGGTCAAGCCTACAAAAGCTTTCTAATTGGGAAACCTCTTCAATGAAAGCACAGAGAAATTTGCTGACTCCTTTTCCCTTTGCTCCCTCTTCCAATAGCTATTTGCTTTCTTTGGAGCAAATCTTCAAACACAAAAGCCAACCACCTAGCAAAGCTCAAATACAGACAGGTGTTTTGCAAAGACAGTAAATCTCAAGAGTAACTAATCAACATGAGATAGCATCTACTAACAAGCTGCATTTATTGGTGTGCTAGGACAGTTAACAGCCTAAAAATCTCTCCGTTGAGACTAGCATTGAGAAAAATAAAGAATACAACTAAAAGAAAAGTAAGCCCATTTTCCACCAACAGAAAACTTGCAAAAGGAAGAATCGTATTAAGTCAACTAGTCCTGCCACATAAAAACCCTTCATTCCAGGGTTATTTTCAGCGGTACTTAATGCCAGGGTGGAGACTAAGAGTCCCAAACAAACCTTTGAGTGTTTTTCTACTTTAATACTTCTGAAATCCATGGTTAGGCCTATTAAGGAAAAGTCTGAAAGAGCTTGACAAAATCATTGCTATTTTTTTTAAGAAATGAGTAATCATGTGAAAACACACTTGTAAATTAGTTATTGAAGTATAGAAGAGTTGTGTTGAAGCATTCTAGAATAACATAAAAGAAATAATAAAAAGAAAGCAAGGATTTTATCACAATAGGTATGCCCTGTTCCCCAGACATTAATTTCTCTGCTTTAAACTTCTCTAAGACTCACAAGACCCTAAAGTTTGTTCTTGCATGAGAAAGACATGACAGAAAATCCCAAAAGAAGGCTCTATTTCAGACTATAAGAATTTCTAATGTTTTACAGAGAGAAGGAGGCTACACTAAAGAAAAAGAAAGTGATTATTTAGCAATGTTACCTGAACTTCACCCAAGTCGTACGCAATGAATCAATCTAATATTGCATGCCACAGGAAGGAAACATGTCAAGCACAAGGTGAGAAATCAAGGTCACTAAACCGAA